ACGCCTGAGTGCAATATGCTAAACGTCGATTGTTAAGGTAGGTGGGGTGGGGGCAGTGAACCAGGCTTTCCTGTTCTTTTGCTTCCCCTCAACAACATATTGTTCGGTGAGTTTGTTTGTAAAGCCCACGAGTGCATCAAAATGGGCGTGGCTTAGTATTGCTCCTTCTCACCAACTACCTTAGCAGCGAACGTCGCCCTAAACGGCTCCCATCCATTGTAAGCGGTTCATGTCTCATTTCATGCTTCTTTTTATCTTTTGTACATAGCATCCTGACGCTTCACATATGGCGCAGTTCGGCTTGGTGGGGGCGCCATATGGTGCTCAGTTGAGACGAGCCATCCTGTGAAAACCTGTAAATTAATGTACCCAAAAAGGCTCATTTATAACATTTTGCAGTTTCGCAAGTGCTTTACAGGCTATCCAAAGTTGCTCCAAGTTCTCCTGTTGGTGTAGGCGGGAAAACCAGCGAAAACGGTAGGTGCTTACCACCACCCTCTCCACCCTCCCCTTCCTCCCAGCTAAGCCGAACAGCGCCCATTGTTTTACTTGCTGTTTCATCACAAATGTGAACATTCGTGTCATTTCGAATTGTAAACTCTTTCGACTACTTAGAGGCACAGTACATTCCACTCCTGTCATATGGGCGGATGCAGGCCTATCATTGTGCTTTCTCATTGGTTAGTCCCCTATTCTCAAAAATGGCTAGTTGCGACGATAAGGGAGGCACTTTGGCGGGCACGCCCTCGTCCATGTGACGAGCACTTAACGTGTCTTCAAAGTAATACTTACCAATACTTGAATAGCTCTCGTTATGACATGATCTGGTTATCGATTATTTTTATTGATTTCTTCTACTCTAACCCCTGTTTCACTTCATTTTTTCTCAGTAAGCATCTCATATTTGATCTTTGCTAATCTCAGCAACTGTGCGTTACTCTTTCCGCACGTCTGAAAGAATAATCCAGAGTGATTGTATGGACGGAGTTACGCCCGACGTTGGGCTTTCTCCATTAGTCGTACAGCATGCCAGTGAATAGTCCGAAAAACAGGCCTGACTCCGCCATGGATGGCCTGCGAATGTTTCTTCAGCATCCATAATATCGTAGTGTATCTACCCACTATTATTTAGTTGAATATCACTTGCTTATATATGATGCACTTTGAATAATGTTAACTGAATTTTATGAAATTTATTCCTTTTTTTGTTCTTTTGTCCATTTATTTTTTGTTCGCGTTTCTGGTTGGTCTGGCTGGAAAAAGGGGGGTTATGGGGGGGGGGAAAAAGTTATCATGTGTCTGTCCACCGGATAGCGAGCAAAGGGCTGAGGTAAGTGGTGTGATTAGTCGCGGCTAGAAGAGAGCTTGGCGCAGTTGCCGAGGGGTGGGGCATTTTGCAGCTATACGTATGCTTTCAATAGTTTGGTTTACAAGTCTCACTCTGGTGAAACCAGTGAACTGTTGTGGAGCTGGAGCAAGCTCGTCAGGCCATCATGGTAAACCTGCCAATTCGAGATGAGACTGCCTAGATGGGTCGACAGTCCGATGGAAGTGTTCAGGTGCAAAATGCGGCCGCGCCGGTCGCCAAACAGGCGCGAGAAGCTGTAGCGTCCTCGTGAATAGTTGCTTGGGCTGTTGAGAGTATTCTCGTGCCAAAAATGCACGCGAAGGGTCTGAAGGGTAGTGATACCGGATGCGTCCCCGATTCCTCCACGTTGGTTACCGGCCGCCGCAGCCTGTCGAGTAGCAACGCGCTATTTCTCTGCGCCTCTACTTACATCGTTTATTCTTCTTCATGTGACTTTCGTGTACGCTGCGGGAGATTATAGTTTCGGTCACGTCCTGGCCCTTGGAATAGGGTGGAGTCGGGAAACGGCATCAGTTATCACTAACCTCACAAGTCCGTCACTTTTGAATGAAAAAATGACGGCTTCTGCCCTCGGTGCGGGGCCCATTTACGCACTGGGACATCGGCAAGGGCAAGGGTTCGGTGTGGAGCGAATGTGTTGTTGAGTTGTCGAGATCGTTGTTTGCTGTGTTGTCCCACGTGGTGGGGTTGTGAGGTGGGTGTGGTGGAGCGTGCCGTGGTGGGGCGGGAGGTTGTGGCGGGTCCAGTTGTGAGGGCGGGGTTGCGTCGGCTGGTGAGGCGTGCTCTGCGACTGCTGTTGGGTGAGACGTGCGAGAGTGAGTTCGCAGTGGGAGTGAGGTGAATCGGGCGGTAATGGGGTTGTGGGGGGTGCTCGTTAGAACTAGTGAGGGATGTGTGATGCAGGCGTGTAGTATCGCTGAAAGCACCTCGATCAAGAACGCACTATTAATTACAGCTCGTTCGGTGGCTCAGATGATAGCGGGTGTGGTCAGGAGCTTGACAAGTTTGCGCGAGCCGGTTTCTCTAATCAGATATATGTAGAAGTGGAGTAGCAACAGCACTGGAGGAGAAGAACTGATTACGGAAGAAGATGATTTGTCGTTTGCCGAAAGAAAAAAGGGAAAAAGGAGCCGGTGCCGCGCGAAATTCTTTCCCCCTCCCCGACTCTCCGATACGCCCCATCAGGCGTCGTAGGCATGTTGTAGAGTAGGCCACCGTAGAACACTAAATCTTGGCGCAGTTCGGCGACAGGGGGAGCATTCTTGCACTTTTGCTACTTCCCATCGACGTGTCGACCTATCTAGACAGCCTCTTCTCGAGTTGACAGGTTTTACCATGATGGCTTGACGACCTTGCTCCAGCTTCACAAGAGTTCACAGGTTTCGCCAGAGTGAGACTTGTAAACCGGAACTAGGGAAGCAATGATAGTACAAAATGCCCCCCCCCCCCGTCGCCGAGCTGCGCCCTAGATCTTTTCAACATTCACGGTACAGTCAGAAGAAAGTCTAAGTGTGAATGTGTTTATTTTTCGAGATGGAATAATACAAGTACTGCCAAAGAGTATTATAAGTGACTGAGTAATCGTTATCATAGTACTGCTTTCATTAAAAGTAATTTGTACTATCATTCGCATGGAAACACATCAACATCAATTTCTCCTTTTTCATTGTATTTGCTTGATAAGGAATAGTTGCTGAAAATGATTGTGGTTAGTATGATTGAGAGATGGAAATCCGACATTTTTCATGAGCACTTGAGTCCCTATTATACACCCCCCCCCAGGTCAAACAGCGCTTATACAGCGGAAGCTTATGAGGTTTTCCTGCTGTGTTCAGCTGCAAATTTCAGTAAGCAGGGACCGAGGGTATGGGTCATAGGTATGTGAGAAGTGAAGTTGTGCGCATCTAATGTCAGCCATCAATCTTTGGCATTTCTTGTCACTTTTTTCCATTTCCATAGGTTGCGCACAGGTTAGGGGATTTACGTCAGATCAGGCAGTGAGGAAAATCGAACCTTTCAGCTCCTCTGCATAAGGCCAATCTGCGTGAGGTGAGGGGGGGTGGGAGAGCCACTGGGCGGATACTGTCTCGTTGAGAGAGCGCAGACCTGCAAGAAGGGGAGAAAAGCTAGCCTTGTTGCCGACTACCCTTCCCACCTCCCCATCCCCTTGGTGTTAGGTGTTACCTACATGATCAGTATTGTCTGAGCATTGTTCCTCACGTAATCTCAAACCGAAACATACCTATAAAATCGCACCAGACCAACAATCGAGAAGAAGCATGGTTGACTGACGTTTGGTACATCCACACTGTAGGTGGGTATTGGAACTGTATCGTTCTCTTTGATTCTATAGTGTCTGTAAGCAAGGTGTCGTTCTTAGGTTTAGCCGTTATTTTGGCAGAGATGTCAGTTTGCCATGTAAGTCTGCGTTCATACTTTGCGGCAGCGTACGCCAGCCGTTTGTCAGCGGCAGTGACAAGAAAAGGATAGATATCGATCTAGCATTTGCCAGCGTAACCAGCGTGCGCTAAAATCGATATCTATCCTTTCCTTGTCACTGCCGCTGCTGAAAGGCTGGCGTACGCTGCCGCAAAGTATGAACGCAGCCTACCCAATGTGGCTCATCTGATTGTGTCCTGAGCGGCGCCACCCTGCTTGGGAGCCTGATGATACTGTGTTTATTTTGATATTTCTTTCTTGTTGTATATTATACACCCCAGCGGCGTTGCCGGACCCGCGAAATTTTTGACGTCACCACGGCAGCTAGCACCACAAGCGAAAGGCGATGGCCTGCGCCTCTGCCACTGTGTTCCAATCACCAGCTGTATTCTCACACCACTACCACTAACTCACCTATACGTATACTACACTATTTGTTTAACATGTGTTCGTGTTTCCGTTTCCACATAAAAACGGCTGCTGGAGCGGGTGCGCGGGGCGGCGGCCAGTCGGCCCTTCGCTCCGCCCCTGCGCCGCGCTGCGTCAAACCCGCCGCATACCAGTCCACGGATGAGTTTTTCACCTCCTCCGGTTCTTCAGACTGAAGAGCTGTCATTGTCTATCGACTATCGGAATGCGGGGGCTGTTTTCCACCTACTGTTGAAGGAGAGCAAGCGACAACAGTAGGTGGAAATCGGGCTGGCGCTGTACCAAATCCACCTTAGCGAACTGCAAGCGCACCCTAAGTGACTCTGAATTGCGGCGTAACTGATGGACAGGCAAACAAGATCAAACAGCTCACCGAGGTTGTCCAGTTCGACTACGGTACATAACAAACAGTGGAACTGTAGGCGTTACAGCTTCGGGTAGATTGTTATGAAGTGCTTTACGCATTTCTTCCAGTGTCATTGATGTTTGATGGTAGAGTCGGAAGGTAGTGGGCCGAGTGACAACCTAAAAGTAGAACTGTTTCGCGTTTGCCTCATTTGCCTGGTTCCATAGAGTTTTCGGGTGCGTCCTGTACTTGGGTTCTGTTTTGGGTCGTAGAGGTGTCTGGAAGTGCGAATGGGTGGTACGATGAGCTGTGAGACCACGTACTTTTGTTGGGGTATGTAGCAAGAGAATCGCGCCGGTGGGCTTCGCGCGACGTCGCGCCCGCTGATGACCACGATTTTAGTCGAGAATAGACAATATATGAAATAAAAATAGACGTAAGTATCTATCATGTACTTATTTACATGAAATCCGATGCTCCAATCGAAAGGGCAGTTAAATCAAGGAAACGTCGCGCTCACTGCCGCGTGCGACGAAGCGGCAATTTACGATTCTCTCGCCCGTCTCCCATTTTGTTGGAGCTCGTTCGAACGAGTTTACCGCTAGCATCATGCCAACAATCGCTTTGATACATATGGAAGTACCGAAAGATGAACCGATGGTTGCAGAAGGCTGTTCCCCCTGTCTATTGTCTTCAGCAAGGCTCAGCCACGTCATGCCTATCTGGGTAAGAGGATCCAACGAGGTGACATTGCTGGGTTTGACTATATCATGTTATAGCATGTCGCGCTGTCTCCGGGGGGGGGGTGACAAGAGAATCGTAATTCGCATGCTGGTGGGCGTCGCGTGCGACGTCGCGCCCGCAAATGACGATGGTTCCAGGTAGTAGATGGCGACAACAGGCAATTCAGAACCGAAAATAGTCATGAATGTCTACGATGACGGGGTCTACATGAAGTCCGGTGCTCCAATCGACAGGTTAACACGAGTTAAGAAAACGCCGCGCCATCGCCGCGCGCGGCGAAGCGGCAAGTTACGATTCTCTTGCCCGTCTCCCGTCTCCGGGAGAGATTGCAGATGAACAGACGTGACGCGGCTAAGCTTCACTGGAGAGCGTCCCCTAACAAAGCATTTTGTGCCAGAATTGTTTTTGGTCTTGAAATCAAGCAACCTCTTCTGCTTCGGCGGCTGTCATTATGCCGATGTAGCGAAGAAGAGGATTCGTTATCACTGTCTCCACTCGCCGTCTGGTTCCACGACTTCTCCGCATTTCTGGTTCAACGTATCCTTAAATAAAGGAGATCATAAGCGGAATAACCCTGGTAGACCTATAGTGGATGGAACTGTGATTGTTTTCGTGAAATGTAGCGCTGTGTTCCACTGTAGGCCGCCGCCATGATGGGCGTGACCTGCGATGCCGCAGCGTTTGCGTACGAGTTGTGTTGTCTCATCACTCATTGAATTTAGTGAAAAAACTATCTTGTTGCCACTCTTTTCGGGCACGTCGTGAGCAAGAGTAAAGTCCTTGCTCTAACGACAACGCGAGCGGGTACGGTACTGCAACCGCGGCCGCTCGGCGGTGCGATCGCATTGGTTCATGACAGA